TGATGTTGTTGTTGTTAGTTACGAAGTTGTGTCCGACCCATCGCGACCCCATGGACAACATTCCTCCAGGCCTTCCTGTCCTCCACCGTCCCCCAGAGCCCACTTAAGCTCACACCAACTGCTTCAGTGACTCCATCTAGCCACCTCATCCTCTGCCATCCCCTTCTTCTTTTGCCATCTGTTGCTCCCAGCATTAGGCTCTTCTCCAGGGAGTCCTTCCTTCTCATTAGGTGGCCAAAGTATTTGAGTTTCATCTTCAGTATCTGGTCTTCTAAAGAACAGTCAGGGTTGATCTCATTTAGGACTGACCAGTTTGATCACCTTGCAGTCCAAGGGACTCGCAGGTGTCTCCTTCTGCACCACAATTCAAAGGCCTCAATCCTTTGGCACTCAGCCTTCCTTATGGTCCAGCTTTCACAGCCATATCTTGCAACTGGGAAGACCATAGCCTTGACTATACGCACTTTTGTTGGCAGGGTGATGTCTCTGCTTTTTAGTATGCTGTCTGGATTTGCCATAGCTTTCCTCCCCAGGAGCAAGCGTCTTTTAATTTCTTGGCTGCAGTCCCCATCTGCGGTGATCTTGGAGTCCAGGAAAATAAAATCTGTCACTACCTCCATTTCTTCCCCATCTATTTGCCAGGAAGTGAAAGGACCAGATGCCATGATCTTAGTTTTCTTAATGTTGAGTTTCAAGCCAACTTTTGTGCTCTCCTCCTTCACCCACATCAAGAGGCTCTTTAGTTCCTCTTCACTTTCTTCCATGAGAGTGGTATCATCTGCATATCTGAGGTTGTTGATATTTCTCCCAGCAATCATAATTCCAACTGGTGATTCATCTAGCCCCACCTGTCTCATGATGTGCTTTGCATATAAGTTAAATAGGCAGGGCGACAGTATACAGCCTTGCCGAACTCCTTTCTCAATTTTGAACCAATCAGTGGTTCTGTGTCCAGTTCTCACTGTTGCTTCTTGACCCTCATATAGGTTTCTCAAGAGACAAAGAAGATGGTCTAGTACTCCCATCTCTTTAAGAACTTGCCACAATTTGTTGTGATCCACACAATCAAAGGCTTTAGCATAGTCAATGAAGCAGAAGTAGATGTTTTTCTGGAACTCCCTAGCTTTCTCTATGATCCAGCATATGTTGGCAGTTTGATCTCTAGTTCCTCTCCCTCTTCGAAATCCTGCCTGTACTTCAGGTAGTTCTCAGTCCACATACTGCTGCAGCCTAGCTTGTAGGATTTTGAGCATCACTTTGCTAGCATGTGAAATGAGTGCAATGGTGCGGTAGTTTGAACATTCTTTGGCATTGCCCTTCTTTGGGATCAGAATGTAAACTGACCTTTTCTAATCCTGTGGCCACTGTTGAATTTTTCAAATTTGCTGGCGTATTGAGTCTAGCACTTTTACTGCATCATCTTTTAGGATTTTGAATAGCTCAGCTGGAATACTGGCACCACCATGAGCTTTGTTGTTGCTCAGACTTCCTAAGGCCCATTTGACTTCACATTCCAGGATGTCGGGCTCGAGGTCAGTGACCACCCCATCGTGGTTATCAGGGATGTTAAGCTCTTTTTTGTATAGTTCTTCTGTGTAATCTTGCCATCTGCCTCTGCTAGGTCCCTGCCATTTTATTCCTTTATCATGCCTTCTTTGCATGAAATGTTCCCTTCATATCTCCAGTTTTCTTGAAGAGATCTCTGGTCCTCCCTATTCTATTGTTTTCTTCTATTTCTTTGCACTGTTCATTTAGGAAGGCATTCTCATCTCTTCTAGCTTGTCTCTTTCTGGAATTCTGCATTCAGTTGGGTGTATCTTTCTCTTTCTCCCTTGCCTTTCGCTTCCCATCTTTCCTCAGCTATTTGTAAAGCTTTCTCAGGCAGCCATTTTGCTTTCTTGCATTTCTTTTTCTTTGGGATGGTTTTAGTTGCTACCTCTTGTATGAACTTCCATCCATAGTTGTGAACTTCCATCCATAGTTCTTCAGGCACTCTGTCTATCAGATCTAATTCCTTAAATCTATTTGTCACCTCTACTGTATATTCATCAGGGATATAATTTAGGTCATACCTGAGTGGCCTAGTGCTTTTCCCTACTTTCTTCAATTTAAGCCTAAATTTTGCAACAAGAAGCTCATGATCTGAGCCACAGTCAGCTCCTGGTCCTGTTTTTACTGACTGTATAGAGCTTCTCCATCTTTGGCTTCAGAGCACATAGTCAACCTGATTTCTGTGGTGACCGTCTGGTGATGTCCATGTGTAGAGTCGTCTCTTGGGTTGTTGGAAAAGAGTGTTTGCTATGACCATCGTATTCTCTTGACAAAATTCTACCAGCCTGTGCCCTGCTTCATTTTGTACTCCAAGGCCAAATTTGCCTGTTGTTCCAGTTATCTTTTGGCTTCCTACTTTAGCATTCCAATCCCCTATGATGATAAGGACATAATTTTTTGGTGCTAATTCTACAAGGTGTTGTAGGCCTTCATAGAACCTGTCAACTTCAACCTCTTCAGCAACCAGTGGTTGGTGTATAGACATGGACTACTGTGATGTTGAATGGTTTACCTTGGATTCAAACTGAGATCATTCTGTCATTTTGGAGATTGTATCCCAGTACTGCTTTTCCTACTCTTACAGCATCGGACTCTCCTTTCACCACCAGGTACATCTGCAACTGAGTGTCCTTTCGGCTTTGACCCAGTGGCTTCATTCTTTCTGGCGCTACTAGTACTAGCCCCCTGCTCTTCCCCAGTAGCATATTGGACACCTTCCGACCTGAGGGGCTCATCTTCCGGCGTCATATCTTTTTGCTTTTTGGAACTGTCCATGAGGTTTTCATGGCAAAGATACTGGAGTGGGTTGCCATTTCCTTCTCCAGTGGATCACGTTTTGTCAGAGCTCTCTGCTATGACCTGTCTGTCTTGGGTGGCCCTGCATGGCATAGCTCATGGTTTCATTGAGCTATGCAAGCCCCTTTGCCATGACAAGGCAGTGATCCATGAAGGAGGAATAATCTGTAGTTGCTCTGAAAGCAGAATAGTGGTGGAGGTTACCAATTAAATACATTACATAAAATGTATCCTTTGTAAAGTGTAGTCATTCTTCATATGCTCTTGTGAATATCCTTTTTATTATTCATTGATATGAAATGAATGCACAATGCAAATTCTATTTTTAACAGTCACAAATCAGAAGTCCACTTATGTCTAACACATTCTTGCCCGTTTGCATTTTTACAAGGCTTCTTAAGAATACTGCTCCGTCTTTTCAAAATGCTTAATGTTAGGATTTGTCTGGGCTTTGCAGTGTGTTAGGCATTAGGGGTCAGGCAGCACTTTCTGCTCTGTTGACCAAGCAAAGGTTTCTAGTATGAATACAAAGTTTGGCCAATAGGGACATTTCATAGGCCCTGCCAACTGCAGGGACCAGTGTCGGACATCTCTGTGCATGAAGAAGTTTGTGGCGTTATGTTCATTAGGCTAAGCCTCAGATGCCAACCTGGTGCAGTTCACATAATTTGGACTGAAGCTCCTGTTATCCCTTACCTTTGCTAATGCTGGCTAAGACTGTAGCCCAACATATCTGGGTGGGCACCACATTGGGGAAGGTTGTTCAAGATCAAGGGTCTGGAGCACTTGATGCTAGCATATCCTTTCTCCTTTACATAACTGTGATCAAGCAGCAGTTCGGGTATTTGGGCATTTTGAATCGGGCATAGCTGAACTGGATGAAGTTTAGACTCAGTAGACTTGATGTAAGCTTGATTGTAAAACAAAACCTAAAGGCTTTATAGAGAATTGTTCCAAAATGAATGGGTGCTCACAGTAAAATATACTTATTTACAGCTGACTATCCATTCCTTTAAAACAGCATGATTACCCATGAGTGCCCTGGGAGTCCCACTGGAGGCAGGGTGTGGGTGGGTGAGTAGCATATCTGTGTAATAGTAGCATTCAAGTAAGTAGTATATCTGGATAATAATAGCATCCAGGAAGTATTAATTGGGTAAATACATTCTGATACAAGGAAATACCGGTAAATGAAAGTGGAAGGGCGATAAAGTGTGCCTTTGTGCATATTTTTCTTCAGTTGGCATATAATGCTTTGAGGGAACAGTATCACATACACAAACATTGCACATAGTGGAAAAATACTGGAATGGAAGACACAGTAGTGGACTTATGGTTGCTGAGAACTTAGCAATGTTGGTGTCTTGGTACCAGCTGTCAGCAAGCTGAGTCAGTAAGTAACATCTTGCATCAGTGCAGCCTTTTTGTTGAAAAGCAAAGGTTTGGTCAAAGTCTTCCTTTTTTCAATTTTGTGTAAAAACTTGTTGGTCAGAAAAAACGGTGTGGGTAGAGAAAGATCCACTGCATAATTCCTAAAGGATTTATTTTTATATTTCCAAGCTATGAAATGTTCCTGAAATCTCTGTTCTAGGACCTGAAATGTAGAAATAAGGAACTCACAGTCCTAAAGCAGGAATGGGTAACAATGTGTTCAGTTGATTTAAATTAATTTTGTTTGTTTGTGTGCTATTACTGGCAGAAAATTAAGTTTCCTTTTTTTTTAAAAAAAAGCCTCTCCATTACAAAATATGTGATACTGTGTGGAAACATGAATATGGAATTATGTCACTCTTATATTCTGAAATATTATTCTTGTTATGAAAAGACACAAGAAAAAATGGTATCATGTTTGTCTGCATGTTGTTGCAAAGAAGATCCTCAATTTCAGTGGAAAGTCAAGTGTGCTTTGAATGAATGGAATTGGGTGTGCTAAGTACGTTAGAATGTGAGCTAGTATTCCCCGTTCCCCCCATATTTAAAGACAGATCTCCTTTGGGGAAGCTCCGCATAGAGTAAAATAGAAAAATCCAGTATAGGAGGCACATGTACATTATCATATGTAGATCTGAACATCTAGCCATAATTGATTTCCTTGCTTTCGTCAATTACCACAATTCATTTTTCCCTCCTCCTTCACTTATCTCTTTTGAAAGGCACTTCCTTCTTCTATGGTGATTGTCGCAATCTACTGCCCAGTGATAGCAGCTCTCTTCATTGTTCTGAAGATGGTAAACTACCGTCTGCACAGAGCACTTGATGAAGGTGAAATTGTGGAAAGGAATGCCAATGAGCGTATGAACAAAGGTGCGAAAACACAGCAAGGTAACTCTTCTTCCAGGAGAAAGGACAGCAATGGACCTAGGTAATGAATCTTCTGTGTTGTTGTTTTTTATGCATCCATAATATGTACTTTATTTTTGATATGGTCTAAAGGTTACAATAAATTAGTGTACTAAACTCAAAGCAAGATAACGTATTGGCTTATTGCATCTAGTTTGGGACATAGAGCAAAGTTGTCCTATATAATAAGTGATTTATGATGAGATGCCTTGAGCATCCCAGGTGCATCATTTCCTGAAGCTCCTGGGCAGCAAGACTAGTGCATGTATAGTGCAATCTGACCCATCTGCCACTGTGCTGTAAACTCCAGTTGGCACATTTACCTATGTTAAGTGGCTCTCTCTCCTTTGCATTCCTTGAGAGAGGTGGGTATGCAGCACAAATGACAGAACTGCCTTCTGTCCTGTGTGGAACATGATTGTAGGCCTAGTTACTTTCTTATAGAAATCTATATGACAGGGATTTAGGATGAAAATTGAGTGGCAAATCTCCCTGTGCATTTCACTGCCATGTTCAGCCTCTTTCCATTGTACCTCTTGTGTGACTCATGCCAGAATGCTCAAGCTGCAGCATGCTTTCTCTAGGCAACCAAAATGTATATATTAGGAGAAGTATGCATATTAATTTTCTTTTTAAAAATTGTTTTATTTGTTTTCAGAAAGTACAATAGAAAGAAGAAGGGTACATAGGAAAAAAGAAGTCAAGTCTTTTCAAAGATTTAGCAAGCAACTCCATTTTTAAGCACATTTAGAATAAATAAAAATCTCTGTCGACTCATTTCCCATTCAATTCTCAGTCATATATTTACCCAGCCTATACAGTTATAGATCATAACATTGCTTTGGAATTACAAACATTTGTAAAAAATATATTTTCTTTAACTATTATTTAAATTGTTAATAGTAAGCCTTCCATCTTTGAGTAAATTCTTTAACTGGTCTTCTGTTGACATAATTAGTTAGCTTTGCCATTGTTGCATACTCAGGTAGCTTGTTTTTCCAGTCTCCAAAGCTAAGTAATCTTCAGCTTTCACATATTAATTTTCATGTGCACCTCTTACCAAAAATTGCAAATGGATGCCGAAATGGAACGAAATGGAATGAAGCTGTGTTCAAAAAGTTCCTTGAATCTGTATTGACATCAAGTTACATTTCATAGAATAGCTCTGTCTGAAGCTTTTAAAAGAACTTGTATGGGCTAAAATTAGAATTAAGTTGCTAATTGTCCCATCCATTTGAATAATTCTTATCTGCCATTTTTCCTATGGTAATTTGGTAACTAAGGTCATAGTGTATCAGGTTTATCCATTCTGCTTGAAGGAATTAAGAATTGCCCAGTCTGATATCCCTGTTTACATTTTTTTGAGGAATATCTTGACAATAAGCAGTATTACAATCTTATCTGGGTATGGAAGGAATTAACTAAAAATTCTGCAATTATGTTGACAGCTGTATATTCTTAGCTGATTTTTCTGTATATACTCAATAGATGACCTGATTATTACCTGTTGAAACAAGGCTTACCTTAAATGTGCTTTTTGAATTAATTTGACACAGTTAACCAGGATAATATCTAAAATGTCTTAGAACTCTTCATATTTTAGCGATCCTGGCGGAGGGATTGAAATGTCAGAGTTTGTTCGAGAAGCTACTCCACCAGTAGGCTGTAGTTCACGAAATTCCTTTGCTGGTTTAGAGTTGAATAATCAGGTATGATATAAACCTCAATCACTTTTATGATGATGATGATGGGGATTTGTAATGCTGGGAAATCAGTTTCATTTGAGGAGTTCAAGAATGTTTTTGATCTGGAGTTTTTGATGGGATATTGGAAATGTGTGCAAAAATGTTGCACACATTGAGAACGGAGTTCTTAATATTTGTAGCAGTTTTTACACAAATTGGGTCTCAAAGGGAGTCTGAATCTTTAAGTCTGTGTAAGTGGGTTTAATAAATATGTTTATCATATTTGCAAGTCCATTATGTATGTCTGGGCACAACATATTTCCTTGGTAAATATCCTCGTGGGTTTCATCCTCTCATTACTTTGATGTTAGCTTTCTTTATTCCCTGTTTTACAAAGAACTTGGCATAGTCAATTTCATTTAATTTGGCATTGACAGTATGGTTTTCCATTAGAGTTACATGACTTACAGAATTAAATAGTCCCATTTTTTAATTATTGTCTGTTATTTGAGTTAGTTCTTCTCATAGAATCTTAGAAGGGACCATTCAGGTCCAACCTCCTGTTCCAGCACAGGACTCTCCCATGATTTGTGCTCAGTTATGCCTTTTTAGTTTCTTCTCCCCAATATTATGAGTTCAATATGATTTTTTTTCATTAATGTATTTGTTCTGACAAGTACAGTTTATTACATTCACTTACTTATTATTATAGCTGTGGTGAGATTTTTTAAAAAATGTGACAGTGTAGGCTCTGATGGTGGGGCAGCCAGGTCAAGTCAAGCCTTTTTTTGCCCCCAAAAGCTCAGGAAAATCACAACCCATTTTGAAAACAGATATCTGCATGTTGGGTGAGTGCCAGCAGTGGGGGGAAACAACAGAATTCAGAGTGCCAAATTGGGAAAATCCATTAGCTTTTCACCCCCTAAATGTATTCCTTGCACATCTCTAAATGATGACTATTTTTTCCAGTGAAGAACTGTTGAAAAATTTGCTTTTATCTTTACTGTGTTAGGGCAGTAGAGGTTCCCCAATCAGTCTTTTAAAGTGTTCTTTATTGCCAGATAGGCGGGTTATTTCAACTCTGAAGATTTTGGACCACTCTTACTTCAAGAACAAGTTTTTATGCATATTTAGACAGTAAAATTCATGCAATTAAAATGCTTTTCTTTATTAACTTAAAAAATATTCCTGCAGTGGAAAAAATGTTGTTATTGCTGTTCTTTATGACTGGTTTCATCGTGAGGTGATTTGGTCCTTTGAAACATGTAATCTACTTCAGATTTCAATAGCAGGGTGAACTTACAAGAATGGAAATGGGATTATAGCTTAAAATTAATGTATTTTCGTATATTATAATTACTTTATGCATTGAGAGCCAGTGTTACATAGTGGCAAAGAGTGTGAGACTGGGCCTCAGAAGATCTGTGTTCTAGTCCCCACTCAGCCATGGAGCTAACTGAGTGATTTTGGGCCAGTCATAGACTCTCAGCCCAGCGTACTTCACAGGGTTGTTGCTGTAAGCATAGGATTGCAAGGAGGAGCAGAATTATGTAAGCCACCTTGAATTCCTTGAAAGGAGAAAAGGTGGGATAAAAATATAATGAATGAACAATTTGCTGAAGGGGCCTCTTGATAACTTGCAAACTACTTTATTTGTCCCACTCCCCTAAAAATGTTTTCTCTGCAGTCTTCAAGAATCACCTAGTTTCTGAAATAGAAGCATAAGTGGCAACACAATTAGTGCTTTTATCATCCAAAGTAAAAACAAGCAGGTATATAATAGATTTTTTTTGTCTTACAAGGAAAACTTACTTTTAAGAACTTCATTTTCTCTATCCCTGCTACAAGTAAGAGGGAAATCAGCGACTTAAGTTGGCTTTATCAGTGCTCTTAGTTTAGGCAAATAAGTAGCTTTTCCTGTTAAAAAAAGCAATGTGTAACTCATTTGTTGATCCATTTTAGATTGGATCTAGTTTATCTCGTCGTGGAACTGCAGCTACCATTAAAGGTAAGACCTCGATCTTAAATTCATGTTTGGGTAGTCTCAGCAGTCACTAATTGGTATCAAGCAGCTTTTCTGTTTTGCTGTTTCTATCAATGTACAGTTGATGCAGGGCAAAATTCTACCCAGCTGGCTAGCTTTCTTCAACCCGGCACTGTCCCAATGTTTTGTGCATCCAGCATTCCTAACTGTTGACCATGCTGGCTGGGACTGATGGAAGTTGAAGTCCAAACTATCTGGAGCATATTAAGTTGGAGAAGGCTACATTATAGGAAAAGAAGCACGCTTGAGACTTAGCAAGAAGGGCAAAATACCTCTACAATAAGTTATAGAATATTACTTCAGCCTGTCTGCATAAACTTTTACCTATATATCCTGGAGTTATAGTTCTCCTTTTCACTTTTTTCCCTGTGGTGACTTCCTTGTTCACTAACTTCCTGCCGAGGAAGTCTCCTATTCTTAGGTGCCATGCTACACTAATTTGGAGGAGATGTCTTTATAAAACAGAAAATAGTAATCTGTTTGTCAGTGACTATGCACAACCCTGGTTTTCTTATTAATGTGTTCTGTGACATTAAGCTTGCAGTTAGAGCCAGTTGATGACCTTTACGTTCCACTGTTCCTGTCTTTGGCAAGATAGCAAACACCTCAAGATTGCAATGTTTTCATGTTACACTTAATACTGATAATTACATCTGAATGTGTGAATATTGCTGAACCACCAGCCTGATTGCTGTTTAGTACCCCTTTGTGTCCAATCATACTGCTTAGGACTGGACACAAAATCTCCTGAGTTGACTTCTGTTAGCCAATAGTTTGGATAAGAAAAGATGCACAGCTTTATCAAGCAGCCTGTCTTGTGACATAATTTCTTCAGACAATTTCCTGAATCCACATGCAGCCCCCAGACCTTTTGTGGTATTGTCCAGCAAGGAAGACCCCATGAGCAACAAGTTTATATATTCTTTAGGTTAAGCTCCTGGGGTTTCTTTTTCAGCATCTTCTAAGAGGCTAAGTTAGGGAAGATCCACCTATAGCATCACAAAAGTGCTAATCTGGGTAGCTGCCACTGAGTATGGTCCATGTTGCCTCTCAGTTTGCCCAAGCCACTTTGTCCAGGGCTTCCCCTCCCCTCCAAAGACACAAATTCCACATTCTTTGTGGGAAGCTCTGGTGCTCCGTGTTGAGGGAGAGCCTGGGGGATTAATTGGGAACAATAGGTATGCACTAATTTTTATTTTTTGCACTGTGAAATGTTAGCATAAGAAGTGGCCTGTTCCTAGAATAGAGGATACGATACTGACTAAATGTCCACCATTCAGTCTGGCCTACCACATCCTCTTTTCCTCCTAGTTTTGTACTTACACCAATATAGTAGCATCAGCATAACTGAGCAGCACAAATTCATGTGCTCTGAGTATATTTTTATAAAATTCTCTTAGCTGGGCTAAGTGTTCCACTGCTACAAAGGGAAAGGAGTTACACTCATATGGTACATTGGCTAGATAGTGCTATTCAATTTCTTTCAGTAAAACCATATCCAACAAGTTTCTCAGCTAGGAATAACTCTTCTTGAGGAAGCATTCTGTTTGGCTTATAGGTAGAGCTTTGTAAACTAGTCCTCTATTTCTGTTAATATCCAGGTGACACAGACACTGCAAAGACTTCAGATGACATCAGTCTGAGTCTTGGCCAGAGTTCTAGTCTTTGTAAAGAAGGGAGTGAAGAACAAGGTAAGGCAAATTATGGCTTGTTCAAGTTGTTATATATTAAGGTAACTGAGATGCCATTTTAGTCAAATTGGTATCAGTGGTCTTGAAATTAGGATTTTGTGTGATAATAGCAGTTCAGCTGTATTGTGTGCTGCCCCTATTCAATCTAATAAGTAACCTGTTTTGCAAGCATTCTTAGAGTGATGGTTGGAGCTCCAGATTTATTTCTGCAAAGCCCTCCTAATAAACTAGAAGTCTTGGAAGTTGGCTCTCAGATACGTGCTCCATTTTTCTGGCGCAGAGGCTGTTAGCTGTGCAATGTTTTCCTCTATGAATTTCTTTGCAGAGTTTATGAGTCTTCATGAACATAGCTAGCAAAGAATTAAAATCAAGCGTTGGTGGTTTTTATAGTTTGTCTGCAGCAGACCTGATGAAGAGATCTTCCCACATAACCATATGGCATGTTTGACACACTTCCAGATCGGCAGCATTTTTGCTCAGTGCACATATATACTTAGCATGACATTCATACAACATGCATGATTGGATGTACACAATTCTTTCTGCAGGATCTCACCAGCAGAAAGCCAATTCATTGCAACTGTCAGGACTGACTTTGTGTGTTATTTCTTATAAACAAAATAAGTTGGTGTGTTCGCTCTGTTGTACTTGGCAGCTTGACATCTATCTCAGAACGTCACCTCACCTAACAAAAGTAAAATTCCCCACAGATGCCTGTGAAACATTTTCTCTTGCCCTCAGAGACATCAAGTTACTCCTTGATTTGAGAGAGAACACATTTCTACATGTTGTTTCAGTGCTTTAGTCTTATACAATAAATCACAGAACACAAGTGGCAACTCTTGGCTCACTTTCACAGCTAGCACCAGGCAGTTTAACAATGTATTATATTATCAATCCTCCAGTCCTAATTGGGAAAGGAGCCAGCAATAGTCAAGTCAGGATCAGACTAATAGGGTCTTGGCTCCTCTCACACTTGCTCATCTTCAGAGTGTTCTTATGTAGGTTTATACCTTTAGACCAGTTGTTGACCAGTCCACTCTATCTAAGGTAAAGTGCAACCTTCCAGATGATTGACTGCAACTTCTATCAGCATGGCCAAGGGTCAGTCATGATGGGACCAGAATTCCAACAATGTTTAGAAGGTTACTGGTTGCTCATCCCTAAGCTAAGGTTTTACATATGGTACTTTGGTTGAATCAGGATAATATCCTTCTAACAAGAGCCAGCAAATCTGGGTGACTTCTACCTATGCACTGCTCAGGTGTAGTGGAGACAGTCTTAGGTTCATTCCAGCTGCCTGATGCAATTTAACAACCTAACTTCATCCCTACATGTTTATGCTTAGATCAACCTCCTATAGCTATAAGAGGTACCACTCCTAGAACAGTTCCTTAATCCATCCCTCCTGAATTTCTAAAGTTATCTAGGCACAAGATTATATACTACCAACCCCTCCCCCCCTCATGCATATATACACAGTAAATTATCTCTGGGTCTAGTAAATTTCAAAAATTTTCTCAGATGCCACGATATAGGAAGATGCCCACATTTTGCAGAATATTTCAAAACATTACACCAGCAAGAATTGTTGACTTGTGTATGTTGCTCTTAAAACAAAACATACATTCTAAAGACCAATGTACATATTTACTTATGTGTGCATGCACACATCAGAACTAACTGGCAATGTATATATTTGAGTATATATGTGCCTGTGCAACACCATACTTCCTCCTGATGGGTCCTTTCTTCATCTAGATTTAAAAAATGAAAACAACATTGCCCTCTATAAGCAATAATAAGAGTTGGGAAATCTTCCTGCAAAATTTCCGCTGATGCACAGATAGTCTTATAGTGTGTATATGTCTGTGCATAGATATGTATGGCAAAAATGTTCCGTTTTTTTTTTTTCAGTGAAAGCATGCCCTCTGTGCCCAGTCATTCTGTTCTTTTTCATAATATGCTGATTCTAATAGCATTATATTTTAAGCACTCTTCTGTGCCACCTTTCTGCTTCCAATCTTTAAGCTTGGGGTCAGCATATTGTGTGTTGTTTTCACCAGTGAATATCTGCAATTGACTTCCATGTTGCATAGCAGTAGATATTGAAGTTTATTGTGCACCAATCTAGTGCAGAGAAAACTTGCTAGAGAAGAGACCTGATCATGCAACAAACTATCGTAGTTACACAGAAAAATGGAAAATGATTTGCCACCCAAATATTCAACATCATGGGTTGGATATAAACTTACCCATGTGGAAATAAAAGGACTCCTTCCATTCACAGAAGGGATTCTCATCCAGTTGGGGTGTGGAATAAGACTTTTCCTCACCATGTCTCTGAAAATCTGCTTCAGAGTGTTAAAATAACAGGAGAAATAGCAGTGTGGTCTGCAGAGGCAAGGAGGAATCGGCATAGCACTCCCCCTGCCCTATCAGTGGAACTTGTCTCATGGGAAAATTGTATTACACCAGGCTTTTGAAAGCATTATTATTCCCAAAATTGTGTTGAATTGGTATCTTCACTTAAACCAGCATGCTGTTTGGGTTTATTCTAGCATTACATCCCAAGGTGTTATTTGTTCTTTGCTGCAAGAGATGTAACAAATTAACTGGACCGTGCTTTGTTTGAACAGTTATTTTCAGATAAAGTGGTTGAAGAGATACTGTGTTAAAATAAAGTGCAGTCCATTTGCTTTTTCCTCACCATGAGTAGTTAAAGAGCATGTGACATCCCAAGTCTGATAGCAGATGGAGAATTCTCTCCTGAATATAATGTCTGGAGAGGCCTTTTATCACCTGCATTAATCTTAATTCCATACAGCAGTTGTTTCAGTTACCATTGTTTATTGCATTGCATTGATGGATTCTGAACGTCTCTCAAATAAATTTGCTTACATGATGTATAATTAAGAAGGTGATGGACTTTATCCCTGCGTGTTATTTTTTAGCAGTCATTAGAGCAGATGCACACATGTGTGCACATGTTAGTTCTAATAGGACTTCATAATCAAACTTACTTTGTGGCAGCCATTCTGTGTCAAAATGCACATATTCACTGTATCAGGTAGAAATTTACATGTCTGTGCTCTAACTGGTAACTCAAAAAGCATAATGTGCATACTTGCTTGAATGTTTCTTATTTTATTTCTTTCTCTTTTTTAAACACAGATTTGGCAGCTGATCGGAAAACTTTCCATCTGGTTTCCGTTGATTCCTTCGTCTCCATTCAGCCATCATTGTCATCTGCCCAAGAGTTGCCAAGGGATAGCAGTGACAAAGTGTGCCTCCCTAATAGCCATCACATAGATCCATCTGTGTCTAATGCTTGTGACACTGAAATGGCTTCCCTTGTACCTCTGCATTCGCACTCTTACCGGAAAGACCACAGGCCACGAGGGGTGCCAAGGACTTCTAGTTCAGCTGTTGCATTTCCAGATGTATCACTAAATGACTTTTCCCTTTATCAGCAAAGGCGAGGGCTAGACACTGTTAGTGAATTAGAAGCTTCCAAGCCCCGCTCTGGATCCAAAGAATCTATAGCTGAAAACTCCTGCCTTTCTGGAGTCTTCCAGCTTGATGATATTCTGAAATGTAGCAGCCCACAGCTGCTGACAAAAAGCAGCAAAAGTAAATCCTTACAAGCAGACAAAAGTGTGGATAGTCTCAGGAGCCTGAGTACTCGGAGTAGTGGCTCAATGGAGAGCTATTGTAGTGGGACTGACCGTGATACTATCAGTACTGTCAGCAGCTACAAAAGCGAGCAGACAAGTTCCACTCACATAGAAAGTGTGTTGTCGGAACATGAGGAGTCATCTAAAGAAGAGAAGAAAAGCAGCAAGAAAAAGGACTGCTTTGTTGATTCTGATGATTGTAGCTTTGCTGCTGACAAAAGGACTAGTAGTGAAAGAACTGCTGTAGAAACGAGCACCAGCAGCTGCATTCAGGAGCTGGGAGGTTTGAATGCATCAGAGGATATGCACAATCAGAGGGCCCTTAGTACCTCTGCTTCAGAAGAAGCAAACAAGAATCCTCATGCAAATGAACTGACAACACAAGCAGACCAGCCTCCTGGGAAGTCTGTTGAAAAAAGAGAGGAGCAGAAAGAGAAATCTTCCATGGTTGATGCAAGAACTTGTAAGGAAATGGTTGGAAAGCAAAAAGAGGGGGATGTACGGCCTAAGTCTTGTAGTTTAATTCACCGGACAGCTTCAGCTCACAAGTCCAGCAGGAGGAGGACAGGGAAAAAACGAGCTAGCAGTTTTGACACAAGTCGCCACAAGGAATATATTTCCTTCCGAGGTGTATCTGGTACCAAACCCCACAGTGCCGTTTTTTGCCATGAGGAGGACTCAAGTGATCAAAGTGACTTGAGCAGGACCTCAAGCATGCAGTCAGCCCACCAGTTCAGTAGTGATAGCTCTTCCAGCACCACCTCCCATTCATGCCAGTCTCCTGAAGGAAAGTACAATGCCCTAAAGACCAAATATATTGTAAGAGAGAGGGGCACAGACTTGGAAAACTCTTACAAAATCCACTTTGGCTCTGAGGGAAATGGCAAAAAACATTCAACACGACGGACTTCCAGTGCAAACAGTGCCAAGAATCGTACCAGGGTATTAAGCTTGGACAGTGGTACTGTAGCTTGCTTAAATGATCCAAATCTAATGATGCCAGATACCATAAAGCAACTGACAACGTCTAAATCTGACTTAGAGGCCAAAGAGGGAGAGGTGCTTGATGAGCTATCTCTTTTGGGAAGGGCTTCACAACTAGAATCAGTCACTCGCTCTAGGAATAGCTTACCAAATCAGACTATGTTCGCTGAAGGTGAAGAGCAGGAACAGGGAAGTGTTGGTAAGTAATCAGAGTGGTAGATGCAATAGTGCCAGTTGTTGCAATTGTGTTTAACAGCTTCTTTTCTGTAGGCTTTTGCTGAATCCCAGCATTCTGCATGTGAAGCCAGTGCCTTCATGTGCAAGTCTTGTGTTTTCTGGAGTGTTCTATATCATGGAATTCTATAAGATTATTTTATATTAATGCTATTTTGAGTTCCTTTTCTGTTTTTTGTATAGTAACATAGTATCATTACTTTTATTGGTCTCTAGACATAAACTGAATAGTACATAACAAAATATCTAGGCTGGTTTATTTAGCGTAATACTTAGTTTATTGATGCTTTATCTCAAATCATTTAATCACTGTAACATAATAGCTTAATGCTTTAAGTACTTGCATACTTAATTCAGTCAATGCATTTGTAGTGCTTCTTGATTTCTTCCATATGTAGTTTATAATCCCTGTGCTCTTTATAGACAAAGGCCTCTCTGTGTACTTGTGCCGTTATTGATCAGAAAAGGAGCTGCTGTTTTTTCCTGTAAAATGTGATATCGAAAACTTAACAGCATTGCTGACCTGTGTGCATGAAACAATTAGGCATTGGTGTAAGTTTGTCTTCGTTAGCAGAATAGTCCTTATTTGCATTAAGATTAATATTCATCACCAAACTCCTGTGGGAACATGGAAATGACCTCCACTTTAATGACAGTACTGTACAAATAGTACTGTCATCTCCTGAATTGCCTCCAGAGTAGTTCTTGCAGTAAAGCTGCAATAAAGTCAACACAGACATTTTGCTAAAATTGTTTGGTTAAAAAAAATGGGCAATGAGATCAGCGCTTGGTTCTCCCTACATTTGTTGGCTGGAATCCTGAAAAACTTTCCTTTTCTTGGAGTCATGTTTTTTTGCTCCCTTTAAGTATGCTGTGGGGCTGTTAACCCTCTGTTTCATCTGTTCCAGTCTTGGATTAAGATATCGCAGATCTTGTTTTTCTTTTTTTGTTCATTCTTGTAAAGTCTAGTAGAATAATTTATTGATGAGATCCATTGGGCAAAAACTTGAGAGAAGTCTCTTCACACAATGGGATTTTGCCTAACTCTCCTCCTTCCCGCAGCCCACACCCCTGAAAATCTGCTCTGGAGTTCTTGCAGCCTTTCAGAGGAGATTTGGAGGAAGTACGGAGTGCTGCAAGATAATGAAAGGAATTGGCTCACTGATGGCAGTTTTATCAGTGGAAAAAATGGGGTTTCATTCATGCTCAGGAACTTATGTGGTTTTGTGTTGGTATCAGGCCAATGTGGTAGCAGTAACCCAGAACTGACTATTTGGTGTTAACATCTGTTGGAACAATAGTTGACTAATGAATGGGTTAACTATTCAGAAACTTTGTGCAGAAGTGTAAGTCATAGATACTAGCTTTAGCTGCAGTAGAGAAGAATTGTTTGAATGTGTATTTAAAATTCTTAAATACTGCGTATTTGTATGTGTGAGGCCTTTAGCATAATAATGTGAATGATTGGCGTGTCAGAACTGAATTTAGGATATAATGGTGCATAATTCTGTGTGAATTTGTAGCTTACCTAAGTCCGTTTGAAAGTAATCGGAAATCATTCCTATAGGGGACCTTAATTTATCCAATCTGTATAAAGACTTGTTAGATTGAACTATCACTTTGGTTGCCTTAACATACATTATGTAAACCATGTACCATTTATACCTACTAAAAAGCAAACTTTTGGAAAATTTGCTCCTGTTGACATGGATGTGAGATGAAAAGTTATTTTGTGTCCTCTGTGGGCTGATGGGCCTTGAGGCAGAATTTGGAGGAAGTTGGAAGGGATGCTCTTTGATGTCCTGAAAAAAAAAAAAGAACAAAAGCAGTACTGAATCTTTGCTGAATATGCCCCAGACACTCTCTCTTCATTCAGCTCCTCTTCCTGTCTGGTAAGGAGCAGCCATATACCCCTTAACTGAGAAGCATACACCTCTCTCCCTCTCTGCTCTCTGCTCTCTGCTCTCTACACACACATGCACAAAATCTCCACTATTTCAGAGTACTGTAGGTTTAAAAAGTAAAAGGGTTAGTCTTGTATTTCTTTAGCTAAACACTTATTTTGCATTAGAATGCCCTTTCTAAAGAGAGGAGCAGAGCCTGCTCTTCAGTCCTTTCCTTTGTATTGAATAACTATGTATGTTGTTAACAGCTATGCATCTCTATTGGAAATTCTCATCTACTTGGAGACACCAGAAACAGGTCTGTGACTAGTCAATGAGCAAGTTCAGCCCAGTGCTAAATCTATACTTTCAGTGATTCTGCAGAGATTTACATTCTCTGAACAAAATAAAACCAGAGTAGTAATCATACAGCAGAGTTCACATTTTTTAGCTCCACTGTCCACATTTACAGCAATTGGGTAGCCATTGGTGACCAGGAAAGGAATGCCAGGAAGTTCATGGAGTTCCATGCAAATGAATAAATGGGCTAGCAGAGGAAAATTTGAATATGTAAGCTCCCTTGTGCCCAGCAGAGAAACCAGGTGGACTACTACAAGACAGATAGAGCTCTTTGTCACTTCTCTTCCAGCTACCAGCAGGCCAATAATTTTTGAACATATATTTGCAAGGCTGAATGCATAGGGTCTGTACTATTTGCTATCCTAATGCTCTATCACATGCAAATTATGAATCCTGCTGCAACTTATTTGGCTTTTTATGATGTAATAGTCAACTTGTTTAGTACATTTAAAATAGGTTGCCTCAATGTTATAGAGTGTTCTGTTGGTTTTCTGCCTTTTCTGGAAGAAGCAAACATTCAGGGCACTGAGTAGAGAGTTGCAGAGACAGATATATTTGCAGTGTGATCTGAACAAATCTGTACCAGACCGCCCAAGCAGATTAAATGCAAAGGCCAGAGGGAGACTCTGTTAACAGCCACTGCTTCCTTTCCTTTGGCAGACAAAAACATCTCTGATACTTCTGGTTTGGTACAGAATCTACTAAGCAGGAATTGCTTAGCTGTCTTCAGAACAGAATGCAATGTGAGAGGTTTTTTCTAGGGCGAGAACTGTAGAAGATAGGGGTGTTGACTCTAGAGAAAAATACATTCCTAAAATACATTGGGTGAACTGATCTACATTTGGGCTAATAAAGATAGAGCTGTAATTTGCTGACTGTTTACTGATCCATCAGAGGGTGCAAAATCCTCCCTATTCCTCCACAAAACTTTTAATTGGACTAAGCATTTGTTTTATCAAAGTTTAGTATCTGCCGGGGATATGTGCCAATAGTTATTCTGTAATGCTCCAGAGTCATGCCTAGATTCTATGATGTTCTATGAATTTTGATTCACTTCATAGAACAGCAAATCAGTAATTCATATAGGAAGCTGTGTAAATTCTCCTATATGTACATTTAAACGTTCAAATAAGTACTCCGTAGTGCCTAGATTTGGGAATCGGCTGTGTGTCTGGTTTTATCACAAAAATCAATGCCAATAATGTGTCTTGTTGTTAACTAAAGAATAGTAGTCTTTTTATACCATTGCCAAAAAAAGCTGTAGCACCAAGAATGTATCTGCAAATTTCCATCTTTTCTTTTATTATTGTAATATAATAATATGTATGCAAAATACAACCAGGTTATGAAGAATTCACTGTATTAATCTAGTTCAGTTCATCCTCAAGAAAAACACACACAGACAGAACCACCTAAAGCTAAAGTGCAAAATGTTATCTTGTTTCCCATTTACCTAAAATCTTGCTTTATGCAGAACATTGTCTTGTGTTACTCCTTCTCACTGTGTGTTTATATGTGTGTGTGTTTTACATCTTGAGAATTAAAATTCAAGATTTAATGTTTAATTTAACTACTTCCCCTCTTTTGCTTGGGGCCTTGTTTAAAGCAAGGATGGGCAACTTTTAGCTCTCCAGATGTTTGGCCTACATCTCCCATCAGCCCTAGCCAACATAGCCAGTGGTAAGAACTGGTGGGAGGTATTGGCCAAAACACACAGGTTACCCACCCCAATTTAAAGCGTATTAATGACCAGGTTTGCATGATAGAGCTGTTTATTTTGGGTTAAATAACTCACAATGAGCTGTGGTGTGTGCCAGCTTGAGCCCCCCAGTTGAGGGTTGCACATTGTTATGTGAATCTGGCCACTATAGGATCTTTGACAAACCTTGCATTACCCTTGATCATTAGTAGGATTATCTGAGTATTGTTGAACACTTGAATGACCTACAGTGGCTTGGTGTACAGGACATATTAAAATAATCTATTGCAGGCTGCTTACTCAAAATGTGGGCCACACATGACTGGCATCAACTGTAACTCATTGTGGATTAAATAACCCACATTAGCAAAGGACCTCTGTCTTGCAAACCATCCCAGTATGTCTGTTCTTTGGCTTTTTAAAATATGTTTTACTTATGGTTTAATCTGCTTAACCAGCAGACATTTCTGCTGCTTTTAAAACCAATACTCATAAACATTTGCCTTGCTTGAGTTTTAAAACAGAGTCTAACCTGAAGTAATTAGCTGTGCCATGTATTAGGAAAGACCAAAATAATAGTATACTGTTAGTGTAACTGTTGTAGCAATTGCTCTGTAAAGTGTGCGTGCGTGTGTACATGCATAAATAACATGGTAGATAATTTGAGGATATATAACCACATACAAAACAAGCTTATGCAATGGACACACTACCCGGAAAGGGGATGGAAGGTAACATAGTTATCCTTTTAGGATTAACATGACGTGAATGAGGATCCAAACAGGACCTGATTCCGTGGTCATTTAATATCAAACATGCTCTGCTTACACTGTGTATTCTCAGCCTGTGGAATGGTGTACATGTATTGTGAGATTTTGCAACTAGTTGACTACCTAAAACATGAATCTGCAAGAGAGAATTGGATATTGAAAATGAATATCTAATGGTAAGACTACTCTAGTACATCAAATAAATAAATGACAGTCTTCCATGCCACGTAACACTTCAAAACTGCCATATCATTCTGTTTTCCAGTAGAAAGGAATATTCATTGGACATGAGGCTCCCTGAGAAGGTCATGTCAACATTGACAAAATACTGTAACCATAGTCTCAGTAAAGTGAATCAGTGTAGTGCTCTGTATTGCTTTCTTGAATCATTCCAGTGCTGCTTCTTAGCATATGGTGGGGGATGAGGTATGTTCATACCTATTTTATTTAAAAAGCAGTCATTCATATCTACAGATAGGTCTTGCTTTCCATGCTTGAGAAACAACTGTATATAGAATTCTAATTGGACTTCAGAAAAAAAAAAAAGAGCATACACCACCCAGCTGGTGATTAAGAAGCCTCACAACTGTAAGAGGCCTCACAACCACATCTTGCTGCAGCTGTTACATCCCTTTGAACTATTGTTGTGGGTTGTTTTTATCCATTGGAACAGTAGTACAACAGGTCACTACAACAGCAGATCTTTCTATGCATTTTAGCTGGATCCAGGAAGAAGTGTGTGTTTTCATTTTTTTGATTGTCACTTCTTGATAGTTAATTTGTTTATTGGATTATTCAGACCAGGCCCCATCCCATCTCAAGCTGATTAGTATTGTGAGAGGCTTCTTCTCTCCTGCATTGAGCTGAGTACATGAATGGGCTATCCACAGTTGGGATTACAACGTTGGGGTCAGTTCAGATTTAATGCTAAGCCACGGTTTGGTACCAGGTTAAGTAGCCCATTGCTCATGCTCTCCCCTTTCTTCCATCCTGTGCTCTGGTTTCCCATGGTGTGGAACCAAGAAAAATTCTATTACCAATTACTAACAGTCAAGCAAGACTGGGCTTTATAACTGATGCATTTCTGAATGTGTAATTCTTTAGAAGTAGAATTTAGTGGTGATTTTTCAGGGTAATTTTATGGTAAAATGTCAGTTTACATAATAGTAACTGTTTCAGTATCGCATGCCTTGTCAAAACGTCCTAGAGAAAATAGTAAAATGTTTAAGTGAAAATACAACCTTTAGAGATCATTGGTGTGTAAAATGAAACACGCTTCCCTTCTAATTTTGCCCCAGTTTCCATAAATCGCCTAACAAGGGTCAGATGCCTCCAGTCTCTATCAAGGCATGAAATGCATAACCAGGACTCTGTGGGTTTTCAGCAGGGATCCTATAAAACCCCAGTTGGTTAAACTTTTCCTTCCCAAGGAAAAAAATATCCTTACCTAGCTGTAAGAAAGGGGGATGAAAGGTAACTGGGAATGTATCACAACTCCTCTACTTAGTTGTAAATGATACATGGATGCTATCGCTTAACAAGAACTTCTACCAAGCTCTATCCCCTGAATGAGATATGTTTAAAATTACAAGTGGGTAACACTGTACATACACATGCAGAAACATTTGGGAGTTCGAACCAGTCCTATTCACAAAGCCTTAGTGTGAAAATGTAACATTTTGCATTAAAGTAAATTAAAAAATACCACAGAAAACCAGGGCATCCTGCTAAGCCTTGTCCACTTTCTCTATGGACTTTGTATCACTTCTGTAAAAAGTTTAGGCTGAGAAAAGCTGATTCCACAGTAGGAGATTAGGCACTCTCCAGTGCAGCTGTTAATTAAGACACCATTTTTAACCTGCCAAGTGGCTCTCACAACAGCAAAGTAAGGTAGGTCACTATAATTTACATTTTAAAGATGGGTAACTGAGGCAGAGAAAGAGTGAATGGGCCACACACCAGAACTGTGTTAGAGATTAATCAAACCCATGGTTTCCAAAATCTAAATTCTCTGTCCATTGAGCATATTAACAAATGGCATTAATACCAAGGGTAGCTGTGAGTTGTCTGGCTAGACAGTTTTCCCCCCCTGCATTGGAAAAGGACTGAACTGATCTCTGCAAAACACATTCAGAGGATTTAACTTTAAAAGAGATTGGAAAATTCAACCTGTGTGTTGCTGTTAGGTACAGAGTGGATGAATTTAAATCAACAGGATTCAAATCACAAAGGGAAAAAGCGTGATTTAAACAAGTTTTTTAAATTAGGTGGTTGTTTCGTAGTATTTACATTTCCAGAGCAAGTATATTTGCTAAAGAGTTGCTAGAACAGATCCAGCATATTGCTTTGTAAGTGAATGGAGACTCTACACCACACTCAAATCTGGCCATGCAGTTTATATTTACTTGGAGGCAAAGGGCAACTATGAAATTGATTTTAGTTTGGCTTTATGTACATGTGAAGGGACTAAGGCCACTGTCCAAAGAAGCATGACATTTATTGCATTAACCCAAGGGGGATTTAGGTTTGTTTTCTCTATTCTCCTCTCCAGTAGTTTAGATTTTAATACAGAAGTGCAGGCTCTAACTCCGTTTATTGTGTTAAAGTTTCATGGGTTCAGTTTAATATTTGTAGACCTAAGTTTTGTTTTCAATTCTTGTTTAATTTTAAACAGCCATGCTTAAAATAACTGAACTCTAAAAAATCGGATTTATTTATTTTCAGGGGATTTTCAATTATCCTGTTTGGGTTAGTAGAAATTTAGCTATATATTTTGTTTTTAAGGTGATAATTCTGTCTTGATACTCTCTTTATTGGCGAACTCAGAATGGTTCATTTGCAACATAAGGAACAATTATTTTAACTTGGGGGTGGGGGGAAGCATAAGATGCTGTGAACATCACTGGACTGGGCTTCAATTTGACATCGTCTGTCTTGATGCAGCAGCACAAACCAGTGAGGAGGCGGTCACAGTTCGTCGTGAACGCAGCACATTTAGGCGTCAGGCAGTACGGCGCCGTCACAATGCAGGGAGTAACCCTACCCCTCCTTCATTGCTCATCGGCTCACCCCTCAGGTATGGTATTTGTGTTCCACCCTATCTAGCATGCATGCAGCTGATCACTGCTTCCCAGCCCCACAGTGTTGCAAAAATGCTTTCTTTTGCCTTCCCTCCTTTGCAATATCAACCAACCAATCTCTCTGAGATGTTACTGCATGTATTCGTGATAATTTTGGATTGTGCATGTGTACACTGCACTCTTTGTTCCTTTTCTCCACCCCCTTCAAAATGAATAGGCCAATGAGTGATGTCTAAGTCATCCAAAGTGCTAACAAACTGACTTAAAACTACCTCTTTCATTTAAGTTTGTCAGATTGTCAAGTGTTGCATTTCTCCCACAAACGTAGGCTGTAGAAATTTCATTAAATTATTCATCTGTCCACCTAATTCTGAATCTGGAGGCCAGTGTTATGAGGTAGGTGAGTTCAGTATATGCAAAAATATGTGTTAGCTATTCCTAGACTCAAATAACATTTTGGGGACATTATCAGCAGGTTGATCTATACAGACTCACGTATGTCTCTCCCAAAGCCACTCTTGTGGGTTGAGGTACCACTTGGAATGGCATATGATTTGAAGAACTTGAGTCAAGACTACCTTTCGACTCATACAAGACATCTCTGAATGTTAAAGAACCATCATCCCCTCTATTCTTAGGTTCTTATCTACAGCAGCAAGACTCAGTGCTAAAAGAATAATACATTGAAACAGAGTAAGCAAAATACAGAATTATTAGAAATATATAATAAAGCAGAGAAATGGGCAGAATGAAAAAGATTGAACACATTTCAATACAAAATAAGAACCATAATATAACAAAATAATCTGACTCTGAAAAAATATATCATTTCACATGAAATAATCATCATTTATTAAGACGCTAAAGTGATGTTTGTAGTCCCCAGAGGTCATGTTATTTGGTTGATTGTTGCTCTTTTTTCAGCAATCTGCTCTACCACATACAAAGCATTTACACCCTTGACTACATTTTTCTGAGCTGTAGCCATACGTAGCTTATAAGCCACTGAGCAAATCCGTGACTGCTTTTGATATTCCTCATTTGACATGTTTGAACCTTGGATTCTGATTGTTAAAAAACATATTCATAAAATAGAGAGTAATGTTTCTATGAAATTGAAAGCCCTTAATTAAGTTTTCTTGATAGTGACATTGGGATAGCACCTACCGTATTTTTCGCTCTATAAGACGCTCCTAACCATAAGACGCACCTAATTTTTAGAGGAGGAAAACGAGAAAAAAAAATTCTGCATCAAATGGGCACATAATCACAGGCACATTCCCCATCACTTCTCCATGGGCTGCACATCTGACAGACTTACTGCACACACATATTCACTCTATAGGACGCACGGACATTTCCCCTTACTTTTGAGGGGGAAAAGTGCTTCTTATAGAGCAAAAAATACGGTAGTTTCTTCATAAGGACTAGTAAATATGCTTATAAAATTTGCCTGCTGCTAAATTGACTGTTTATTCCTAAATACTCAGAACTATCTTGGAAACAATCCAGCTAACTTCAGTTAGCAGTAGTGTCAAATTGGATACTGCAATAACTGTGTAAAAATCTGTCCTGAGAAATGGCTTTATTGAGTTTTAAACCTGACATTCCAGACATCTAGTATGGTTAAAATTGCCCCAAATACATAAAACTTCACAAGGGTTCACAATTTTATGGAAACCCATTTGTGTGGATAGTATTTTCAAGAAAACAAGAATGTATTACAAAACAAGAATGGTCCCTTAGGCTCTGTGCATTTTCACCAAGTGAAGAGGTATGAGGTATTGTCACATAATGTACTTCTGTTCACACAGTTATATGCAAGAATAAATATCCTATTTATAGCTATTATTCTGCTTCTTTGATTTAATAATGCTAGCAAATTTTAGACACTTTTTTCTGCTTGGATACTCCCATTGTTTGAAGCAATGGATTGATATCTTCATTATTTTTCCTGTTTTCTTGACAATTATTATTATTATTACATTTCATTTCTATACCGCCCATAGCTGAAGCTCTCTGGGCAGTTTACTACATTTCAGTCACCCATCCAGATTTCAACCAGACCCAACTCTGCTTAGAGTCCTTCTCTCACTGGACAGAAGCATTTTGGGAAACAGTTAAGTGAGGCCATAAATAATATTCAAAAGTATGTGGCCTCCTCATTGCTCTCTCATCCCTTTACTGAAAAGTAAAATAAATGTTCATGGGAGAATAAACACAGCAAAATGTGTGGTGTTAATTTTTCTGATTAGTTGTTACTAATACTGTGCACTGTTAATACTGTGCACCATGCTAGCTATTCTTGCGAATTATTGTCATCTTATCCTTTCATAATGCTTAAATTCTGTTCTTTCAATAAATTAGGATACATAAATAAAATTTCACACTTACTGTGTGTGTGTTCATTGATTTCTCTAATGAAACCAACATATTTGCCAGTCATTCCTTCTAGTTCTTCTGAATATATACTTATCTTCTCCCCCACCTCCCCCCTTTTACTTAGTCAAAGAAATGAAAGAAAAGTCTATATTTTAGGAAGGGCTAAAAGAAACCTTAAGTCTTTTAGTCACCCCACTGCCTACAATATAGATGTCAGAAACTAAGAGATAATTGTCTAAGTGCTGTGTGGAATTAACATCTAAACATAGGCTCCTAAACATTTGACAACCCCTAGAAATCTGGAAAAAAGCAGTTCCAGGTTAGGATAGTATACTATTATGATAATTCCTTTGCCCCCCAGTCATGCATTAACATGTCTCAGCCAAGTCTAGACTGTTGCTTCAACTTGTTTTCTGTTCAATTACAGAATTGATTTGGATTTTGGCAATGGCCCAAGTGTTATTTACACACTTCACTCTGTATATTACACAAAGTAGCTTTGTAATGTTGTTTTGCTTTAGTCCTGAACAAAATTCAACAATAGATCAATCAAGTGACAGTGAAAGAAACCAGTAGGTACATAGGAAACTGGCTTATACCAAGATGTGGGATTGGTCCATCTAGGCCCCTCTTATCTACCTTGAACAATAAAGGCTCTTGCACTTTCCCTCTTTCTTTCAACACATGCACAATGTTCTAACTCTTTGTATAGATAAGTGTTGCCAGTAATCCAACTTCCTTATATGTTTTGGTAGATTTGGGGAGGGAGAATAAGGCTTTAGAATGCTAAACAAAATATTTTTTCAACTATTTAAAACATACCTTATTAGTAAAAACAATGCTTCTGATAAAAAATTACTTTCTTCTGGAAAAACTCCAATTCCTGCTAGAAGTGGCTAACAATGACCACAGCAAGAATCTCTCTGTAATAAATGTGAATCATTCTGGAGGTTGTACACTTAAATCTCAAGTCTGCTTTTGTACATGCCGACAGATAAATCTGAACTGCCCCTTGTCTTTTCAGGGAGAAAAATTGAAGAGAGAGCAGTCTTACTAGCTCTATCATTAATAGATAATGATAAGCAGTGATCCCCTTCATGGATCACTGCCTTGTTGTGGCGAAGGGGCTTGAGCTCAGTGAAGCTATGAGCTATGCCGTGCAGGGCCACCCAAGATGGATAGGTCATATCAGAGAGCACTGACAAAATGTGGTTCACTGGAGAAGGAAATGGCAACCCACTCCAGTATCTTTGCCATGAAAACCTCATGGACAGTTCCAAAAAGCAAAAAGATATGATGCCGGAAGATGAGCCCCTCAGGTCGGAAGGTGTCCAATATGCTACTGGGGAAGAGCAGAGGGCTAGTACTAGTATTACTAGAAAGAATGAAGTGATTGGGTCAAAGCCGAAAGGATACTCAGTTGCAGATGTACCTGGTGGTGAAAGGAGAGTCCGATGCTGTAAGAGCAGTACTGGGATACAATCTCCAAAATGACAGAATGATCTCAGTTCGAATCCAAGGTAAACCATTCAACATCACAGTAGTCCACGTCTATACACCAACCACTGGTGCTGAAGAGGCTGAAGTTGACTGGTTCTATGAAGGCCTACAACACCTTGTAGAATTAACACCAAAAAATCATGTCCTTATCATCATGGGGGATTGGAATGCTAAAGTAGGAAGCCAAAAGATAACCGGAATAACAGGCAAGTTTGGCCTTGGAGTACAAAATGAAGCAGGGCACGGGCTGGTAGAATTTTGTCAAGAGAATACGATGGTCATAGCAAACACTCTTTTCCAACAACCCAAGAGACGACTCTACACATGGGCATCACCAGACGGTCACCACAGAAATCAGATTGACTATGTGCTCAGCAGCCAAAGATGGAGAAGCTCTATACGGTCAGTAAAAACAGGACCAGGAGCTGACTGTGGCTCAGATCATGAGCTTCTTGTTGCAAAATTTAGGCTTAAATTGAAGAAAGTAGGGAAAAGCACTAGGCCACTCAGGTATGAGCTAAATCATATCGCTGATGAATATACAGTAGAGGTGACAAATAGATTTAAGTGATAGACAGAGTGTCTGAAGAACTATGGATGGAAGTTCGCAACTATGGATGGAAGTTCATACAAGAGGTAGCGACTAAAACCATCCCAAAGAAAAAGAAATACAAGAAAGCAAAATGGCTGTCTGAGAAAGCTTTACAAATAGCTGAGGAAAGATGGGAAGTGAAAGGCAAGGGAGAAAGAGAAAGATACACCCAATTGAATGTAGAATTCCAGAGAGAGAATAGCTAGAAGATATGAGAATGCCTTCCTAAATGAACAGTGCAAAGAAATAGAAGAAAATGAGAATAGGGCGGACCAGAGATCTCTTCAAGAAAACTGGAGATATGAAGGAAACGTTTCATGCAAAGATGGGCATGATAAAGGACCAAAATGGCAGGGACCTAACAGAGGCAGAAGAGATTAAGAAGAGGTGGCAAGATTACACAGAAGAACTATACAAGAAGGAGCTTAACGTCCCTGATAGCCACAATGGGGTGCTCATTGACCTCGAACCGGACATCCTGGAATGTGAAGTCAAATGGGTCTTAGGAAGTCTGAGCAACAA